ATATATATATATATATATTCAAATCTTAAAACTTTACAAAAAAATTTTTGCATTGAAATGATAAACTCTTAGCGAACAATTTTGTACAAAATTATAAATTTCATATTGCATCTATTCAAATAAAAACCATTTAAATTATCTTTCTGTATCATTTTACAAAAATCACAACATATTAATTAATGTATATATTTTTTATATGTTCTTATTCTACTGTATTCTTAAATATAACTTGCAGATTTTTCCAATTTGTTACTTTTTCATTTATAATTGCTGTCTTTATGATTGACTATAACAATAGGCAATAAAATATGGGATAAAAATATTCAATCATTATAACTAAATTTTTTACTAAATCATGTACACACTCTTACGCCGTATGTTTCCATCCATTCATACGGTGCAACGACAAGCCTCCGTTATTCCAGGCGCAGTACATCACTGCAACTCCTGCCGCAATCGCGCCTGCTATGCCAGCTTTTCTAATCCCAGCTAAAATTTAACATTACGCATTGTCACAATTTATTATAATAAATATAATTATTATAATATTAATACATAGATCACATTACATACCAGGTGATCGAAATATCGCAGCACTTGTGGCAGCTGCAGCTACTGTGTTAAAACTATCATCAGTTCCTCGAAGCCAAGTCAGGCCTATTCCAGCGCATGTGTACATAATCATTATCACACCGAGCGAATTTGCCATACTGGCACCACCCTTCATAACATGATTAATCAATCTGAAAAAGAAAGAAAACATAAATAAGTTTTTAAGCGCATTCTAAAACAAGAATAAGCAAAAGACAGAATAATAGATAAAAGCGTACTGTGTTCTTCTGAGTTTGCCAGTCTCGCCAGCAATAGACGTCGCCTTGATGCCTCTGTACAAACCTGACGCTCCACCGATCCCTGCCCCCGTTATGCATGCAGCTCCAATTTGACTGAAAGCTAACTCGAAGCGGCCTCTTTGCCTTGCGGCACCATCAGGAAATATAAACTCTGGCTGGCTCACAGGAAGGTATGATGGATCAAAGTTTAAATATGGGCTCAATGAAGCTAAGCCTTGTTGTGAAGTGACTGAAAAGTAAAATTAAAATATCTTAACACATAAATAAAATAAGATGGTCGATATATTAAATTTGTTTCCTCATAATTTATTTGTAATTCATGTAGTAGTGATTGTTGTTTAAGCTACTTAATATATATTTTTTACATAACAAGAAAGATTATTTTTACTTTATAAAAATAGTCGAGTCTCCATTTTTTGTCAATATATATATATAGGTACAATTTTATATCTCCTTATCATTGCAGTTGTCATTGATATTTAAAAAAAGAACTACGATTATAGACTGACTGACGCAATAAGACAGGTTAGGAATTTCAACTACAGGTTAAAATATTTCAGCATTCGATCATTCCGTGACGACGCATCTTCGGAGAATATGTAATAATTAGCTCTACTCGTCGAAATCCGAAAAACATTTTCATTTCTTGCAAAAGAGAAAGTTAAAAAAACCACGACGGAAAAAAATTTGGAGCAATTCCAAGAATATTCGCGCGATGCTCCGAAGTTTTTCGTTTACCCGGTATGTTGGTGTTGCTGTATCTTCCATTGTCGGCGTCGGCCTTCCCCAGATCAGTGCGAAAATCTATCATATTATTTTAGGATAATTTATAACTTGCGTCTCCTAGTTGGAACACGAGACTCGAACGACCACGGAGAATAGCACGACGCATCGAAATCGAAACCGGGCTGAACACGCTGAGGATGCCGGGTCGGAAATGACGTAATCGTTAATAGAAGAAAAACGCGAATGGGTCCGTTCTCTTTTTTTCCATTGGCTCAAACGTTACCTAATAATGAATCGATTGATATTCATTTATTAATTTTTTATTTATTTAATATAATCTTTGCTTAATCTACCCAGTTTATAATTATGTTTTTGATGCCTTTCTTAAATATTAATGTCTCATCTAACATTTATAAAAAACAATATTTCTTTAATATTTCTAATGTAAATCTAATTTACAAGTAAAATATTATTCCATGTTCATAGTGAATAATATTTTTACTTGGCCTACGCAATGCTCAGGATCATCATTTGCTTCTGATTAATATTTGATAAACAACAATAAACGATTTGTTTTTTATAGAAAATAAATTTATTATTATTTGGTTATTATTACTTTATCAATGATTATCAATTTTCACTTAACGTAGATTTATATTTAAAACGAGGGCTGTTCTTTTTAACTGAGCTTTTTACATCGTTCATCTTTTCTTCATCGAAAAAAAAAAGAGAGAAGATAAAGCGTGCAAAAAGTTCAGCTAAAAAGAAATAGTCTAAAGGCCTGCGCACAATAGAGCAAATATTAAAAACAGAAGTAAATATTAAATTTTGGAAATGAAAATTTGAAATAAAAATTAAATATAACGCACAATGAATATAAGTAAGTATAAAATACAGTCATATCTTATACTTACTTGTATTCATTGTGAGTTATGTTTAATTTTTATTCTGAATTTTTATTTCTAAAATTTAATATTTTAATATTTGTTCTTACTCCTAATATTTCCTCCATTGTGCGCAGGGCCGTTTGAAATAGATATATATTCGAAGTTCGATGAAAACGCCCAAGGAAATTTTAATGCAAACCAATACAAAAAATAGGCCTAAAAATGAAGTGTTTGTACTATTAATTAACTCGCTTAATATAATATACTCTTTATAATACATTCTGGTATAATTTATTCTTTATCTTTTTCTAATTCTTAAAAAAGCAGATAAGATAAGAAAATTAATCGAGATTAAAATTGTAGAATATTCGATTTGTTGACACCGAGTCGACTTGAGCATAAGGGAAAAAGAAACGGAAAGAAAAAGTAACAGGAAGAAAGAATGAAATAAAAGGAGACAGAGTCGAGTCGAGTCAAGTCGAATCGAGTTAATGTCGATCCACAATAGGTGATTTAAGTTTTAAGAAGTAATATAAGAAAATAATCGACTATGATTGGTCAATTTCTTCCGACTTAAAGATTAAATACTTATTGTGGATCGACACTAAGGCGATTTCACTGACTGTGAAACGCAATGGCCGCAATGCGCAGCTTAATAGGGAATTTAGCTATATAATTGAAGAGTACGGAATAATCAGAAAAACTTATTTTATAGGGATATAGG